CTACCTCGACACATTCTGGCCGTGAGTCCTTGGTCAGGTTGCTATACCTCTCTGAGCCTTGGATTCCCCATCTGTAAATCAGGCATGGTAAGACAGCGTGCTTGCATTCCATGGAGTGTCTTGAGGATTCAGTGACATGTAAGTAAAGCACACAGCCCAGACTTGGCACTAAGTAGTCACTCAATAAAGCTAGTCATGACACAACCCCCCACATTTGCTGATAGAGAAACCGAGGCTAGCTACCTTAGAGGCAGAGAAGGGACTAGAAGGGGGAAGGGAGGAAGGGAAGTAGGCTTGATGGGGTTCCTCGAGCCACATACAAAGTCCAGACAGTGACTTGGGTAAGTAAACAATAAGAAACATGAAAAATCATGTGGCCTTTCTGGCTATCCTGTTTCCTACTCTTTTTTCTTTTTCCTTTTCTTTCTTTTTTTTTTTTTTTTTGAGACATGGTCTTGCTCTGTCACCCAGGCTGAAGTGCACTGAGGCCATCACAACTCACCAAAGCCTCCATCTCCCGGTTTTAAGCGACCTCCCACCTCAGCCTCGTGAGGCAAACTCCACCATGCCTAGCTAATCTTTTTAATTGTTTGTAGAGACAGGGTCTCACTATGTTGCCCAGGCTGGTCTCGAACTCCCGACCTCAGGTGATCCGTCTGCCTTGGCCTCCCAAAGAGCTGGGATTACAGGCGTGAGCCACCACACCGGCCTTGTTTTCCTACTTTTGAGAGACATGAGAACTGAGAAATATTTCTCCACTCTAAAATAAAATAACATTAAGTACAGTAAATAGCAAGTGACATTCAGCTGCAGTATCAAGGAGATGGCAGGGAACGGCAGGGACTGTGGCTGCCTCCTTGATATTGCAGCACACATGTCCATCTAAAGGGCCAGCTAGCCAGCCCCACCTGACTGGTCCTACAGTGCCAGACACCCTGATTTTTAATAGAGGTCAGAAAACCAGATTTGTATGTGAAATGTCCCAATTTTCACTTTTAAAATTATTTATTCATTTATTTATTGAGATAGAGTTTCACTCTTGTTGCCTGGGCTGGAGTGCAATGGCGCAATCTCAGCTCACTGCAATCTCTGCTTCCCGATTCTCCTGCCTCGGCCTCCCAAGTAGCTGGCATTACAGCTGCCCACCACTATGCCCAGCTCATTTTTGTATTTTTAGTAGAGATGGGCTTTCACCATATTGGCCAGGCTGATCTTGAACTCCTGATCTCAGGTGATCCACCCGCCTTGGCCTCCCAAAGAGCCAGGATTACAAGCATGAACCACCACACCCAGCCTTGTTTTATTTTGAGAAAGGGTCTCACGGTTACGCAGGCTACAGTGCAGTGACACAATCTTGGTTCACTGCAACCTTCACCTCCCAGGCTCAGGCAATCATCCCACCTCAGCCTCCCGAGTAGCTGGGACTGTAGGTGTGTGCCACCACGCCCGGCTAATTTTTGGATTTTTTGTACAGAAGGGGTTTCTCCATGTGGCCCAGGCTGATCTCAAACTCCTGAGCTCAAGTGATCTGCCTGTCTTGGCCTCTGAAAGTGCTGGGATTACAGGTGTGAGCCATCACGCCCAGCCAAATGTCCTGATGTTTACATTTTCTAATTGCTTCTGGAGTAGAGGACCATAGTAGATTCGTATAGACTGATCTTGCTATTATTTCAGCCCTTCCAACCCTGATACTATTTATTTCTTTTTCTTGCCCTGTTATTCTGGCCAGGCCACTAATGTAAAGTTTGAGTCATAATAGCAGTCATCCTTGTCTCTTTCCTGACATGTAGCATCTCACATTTTACCACGGCAGTATATTTTAGATTTATTTTTAAATGTTGGCTCACTTTTTCAGACACTGTGGTTGCCAAACTGTCTGTCTGGAGGCTGCCATGAGTGGACAATTTGTGATCTCTGCTTTACCTGAATTGTTTCCCTGAATTGTGACAGCAATCTGACCAGGTAGGTACTATTACTAAGGAAACCGAGGTTCAGAGAGGTGAAGTGACTCGCCATAGTCACACAGCCAGGAGGGGCAGAGCAAATTCAAACCCAGCTCTGCTTGACACCAAAGACTGTAATTTTTCTTTGTTTTTTTGTGTGTGTGTTTTTGATACAGAGTCTTGTGTGTGTGTGTGACAGTTACTCCTACATTCTTACAGAGTAAACTCTTTGCTCTTTGTCTGTCCAGGAGTTTACTCTGTCGCCCAGGCTGGAGTGCAGTGGTATGATCTCAGCTCATAGAACCTCCATCTCCCGAGTTCAAGAGATCCTCCTGCCTCAGCTTCCAGAGTAGCTGGGATTATAGGCACGCACCACCACGAATGGCTAATTTTGTATTTTTAGTAGAGATGGGATTTCGCCATATTGGCCAGGCTGGTCTCAAACTCCTGACCTCAGGTGATCCGCCAGCCCTCGCCTCCCAAAGTGCTGGGATTACAGGAGTGAGTCACCGTGCCCAAAGACTGTGATCTTTCTCGGGGTGGAATGGAAGCCTGGATGCCTAGGCCAGCCCCTTTTTATCCTCCACTCTATCCAGCATCTTGGGGTTCAGTGGCACACCCTGGGGTCCTGGAGCAGCTGTCACCAACTTTCTGTTAAACATTATAGCTAGCCGGGCGCGGTGGCTCACGCCTGTAATTCCAGCACTTTGGGAGGCCGAGGCGGGTGGATCACGAGGTCAAGAGATCGAGACCATCCTGGTCAACATGGTAAAACCCCGTCTCTACTAAAAATACAAAAAATTAGCTGGTTATGGTGGCGCATGCCTGTAATCCCAGCTACTCAGGAGGCTGAGGCAGGAGAATTGCCTGAACCCAGGAGGCGGAGGTTGCGGTGAGCCAAGATCGCGCCATTGCACTCCAGCCTGGGTAACAAGAGAGAAACTCTGTCTCAAATAAATAAATAAATAAATAAAAATAAAAGTAGGGCATACATTGAAGTGCTTGGGATGGTGCCAGGCACTCAATAACTAATAAATGTTACTTCTCGGCCAGGCACGGTGACTCACTCCTGTAATCCCAGCACTTTGGCAGGCCGAAGCAGGCAGATCACCTGAGGTCAGGAGTTTGAGACCAGCCTGGCTAACATGGCGAAATCCCATCTCTACTAAAAATACAAAAATTAGCTGGGTGTAGTGGCACTTACCTGTAATCCCAGCTACTTGGGAGGCTGAAGCAGGAGAATTGCTTGAACCCAGGAGGCAGAGGTTGCAGTGAGCTGAGATCGTGCCATTGTACTCCAGTCAATTTTTTTTCAAAAAATAAATAAATAAATGTTACTTCTCATGATTACCAGTAGATGTGTATGCCTGTGTACACTGATATTAGGAAGAAGATGATGTTCTTAACCTTTTCTTTCATGCCATTGTTATAATTTTTTAAAATGCTATCTCCCATGGATTCTTCATTATGTGGTGAATAAAGTCCAGATTCCTTAACCTGCATCTAAGGCCCTCTCTGATTCATCAACCCATACTTCAATAGCGGAAAGTGGCTAAGAACCCATGGAGGCAGGCTGCCCCAGCTTGAATCCCAGCTCCGCAACATTCCTGGCTGTGTGAGCCTGGGTAAGGAAGTTTGCCCCTCTGGGCCTGGGATTCTTAGCTGTAAAATATGGAAAGTAACAGCACTCACACGACAGGCTGAGGTGATGTGACTGTAAACAGCCTGGCCTGGCACAGTGTCCCTCATGTGGAAAAGCTGGACATCAGCCCTGATGACGACCCCCTACTCCTCTGAGACCTCTGGTCATGCTGGAACATGCGCCGGCCCCAGAACATAGCAGGCCCCGCACATCCCACCTCGAGCTGTTCGTTCACGCCCTGCTTTCACCCGGCACACCTTCCCCTATCGATCCACCCATCAAAGCTCTCCAGGCTAAGGCCATATTCCGGGCCAAGGCCCAGCTCCAGCGGCATCCCCTTCCTGTCCCCACCAGTCGCCCTTTGACCTTTGTCCAGGCGGGTATACTTACACACCTCACCCCCACCAACTCTGCCCCTCCTACCATGTCACACCCTTCCTGAGGACGTGGGAAGCCAGGCCTGGCTCTGAACTCCAGCCTGAGTCTCAACCCAGAGGCCTGAGAGACTGGCCAGCCTTCAAAACAATTCAGTCATCCAGTGGAGTCCAATAGCCCAGAGGGTGGCTGTGAGGATAAACGGGAAGACACTGGTCAAGGCCCTTTTCTCCTTCCCGCCTCCTCATGAGCTGGGTGGGCCTCCCACCAGGACCCACTGAGCGGGAGGAGGGAGCAGTGGACGTGAGGATATTGATGGCCTCCAGATGCCCACGCAAGAGGGATTTCTGCTCTTGATTATAACGGGTTTGGAGGTGGCTAGCAATCCTGAATTCCCACAAGTGAGTACAAACCCCGTCCCCCTTGGGGTGTTGTCCTGGACTGTGTTCTGTGAATGGGTGTTCCCAATTTCCGTTTTTTTTTAATCTTTGAGACAGGGTCTTGCTCAGTTGCCCAGGCTGGAGTGCAGCGGTGCAGTCTCAGCTCACAGTAGCCTCGACTTCCTGGGCTCAAGTAATCCTCCCATGTCAGCCTCCTGCACCCGCCACCATGTCCAGCTATTTTTTTTTTTTTAGACCAGGATCTCACAGGCTGGAACGCAGTGGCACAATCTCAGCTCACTGCAACCTCTGCCTCCTAGGTTCAAGTGATTCGCCTGCCTCAGCCTCCCAAGTAGCTGGGATTACAGGTGCATGCCACCACACCTGGCTAATCTTTGTATTTTTAGTCGAGATGGGATTTCACCATGTTGGCCAGGCTGGTCTTGAACTCCTGACCTCAGGTGATCCATCTGCCTCGGCCTTCCAAAGGGCTGGGATAACAGGCATAAACTGCCATGGCGGCCTTGCTTCCCTTATCATCTCTCCAGGGCTCCCCCTTGTGACCGCCAGGGACCCCTCTGCCACCACAAGCTTCAGAGGAGAGTGCTGCCACCTAGGGGCAAAGAAGGAAACTGCCACAGCTTGGCCCAAGCCACCTGGACACGTTATGATAAAAACATTTACTGTATTGAGCACTTTCTGCATGCCAGGCGCCATACTGTGCCCCTGGCGCATTTCATCATACTGGATCCCCAGGACAACCCTATGAGGTAGTAGCATCGTAAGCCCCATTGTACAGATGAGGAACATGGGGCTCAGACAGGTGAAGTGACTTGCCCAAGGTCACACAGCAAGTGCGTGGCAACTTTTGGATTTGAAGCCAGATCTGTCTCATAGCTGCAGTCTAGCCATGATACTTGAGTGCCTCCTAAAAGCCTACATCACAGAGCTGTCTGAGGATTCTGTGGGGAATCGTCTGTGAAAAGGTCCAATAGATAAACTCTGTCCATGGCAGGCGTCCTGAAGAGCAGCGGGCTAGAGGCCACCAGGAAGCAGCCTGGAGGCAGGGTGGGCAGGACCGCCCTGTCTTCTCTCCTAGGGGGCCCAATCACCAGCCTGACAACTGGACCCCAGTCTGCTCAGGCTCCAGCCATCTCTCTCCTGCCATGGTTCTGCCGTGGGCAGCCCTGTCCACACGGGCAGCCCTGCCCACAACCCCGAATATTCCAGGGCTTTGTAGCAGGAGAAAGGACACAGGAAGGCGGCCACAGGCCAAGATTTATGAATGACATTCAGCAGGATTTCTGCCAATGTCTTGATGGCTCGCTTCCGCTGGGAAGGATCTCCAGTCTGCCCGGACCCAAATATGAGCAACAGGCCTGCCCAGGAAACAGACACCGCAACTCCATCACTCCGAGGCCTGGATGTAGACAGGCACAGCGAGCATGGCACAGGGGCCCTCGGCCCCAGCCTGTAGCTCCGCCAGAGCCAGGTTGGAGCCCAGCCCCTCAGCGTGCCCAGGTACCACCAGCTCTGGCTCCGCGCCCACTGCACCACCCACAACAATGGACAGCACCGCGTCCGGCTCTGCAAAGGGCGGTTTGCCAGGGACAGCCTCGGGCACCAGCCCAGCCCCTGTGTCCTTCAGCTCTTCCAGCCCCAGCGGGTCAGGCAAGGGGGTCACCACCTTACGCCCACCAGTGCCGCCACTGCGGGGGGCTGCCCTCCTCTGAGGGGGACGCCGGGTCTGCAGGTCCTTGTCCTTTTGGGGGCCAAGACGACAGCGGTGATCTTTGAGGTGTTTGGGGCGGGAAAAGCCCTTGGCGCAGCCAGCACAGCGGAACTTGTAGTTACCCGTGTGGGCACGCTGGTGCTCGGCGAGGTGGGCGCGGCGGCTGAAGGACTTGCTGCACAGGGCGCATTTATGGAGCTTCATGCCTGGGGGGTGAGGGAATGTCAGTGAGAAGCATCCAGACCTTCACCCCGCAATGGTGCCCTGCACTGGGAATCAAATCCAGGCTCCTGCCCCACAAGTGCCTGTATGATCTGGACCCAGCTCTCTCCACCCTCGTCATCTGCCTTCTCCCAGCCGCTCTCTGTGCCAGCCACACCCGCTGTCCTCAGAGGCGCCCGCTGGCTCCTGCCTATGCGGCTGTGCACCTGCGGGTCCCCTCTGCCTGGAGCAGCCGCTCACTCCTGGCACCTTGGCTCGCTCTGCCAGGTCCTCTCTCACCTGGGTGACCAGGGCAGCAATCTCTGCTCTGCTCTGCCCCCATCACCCAGCCCCCCAGACCATCCCCCACAGGGCAGCTGGAGATGTCTGCAAAACACACACACGATCACGACATACCCCGTTCCCAACCTCTCATGGTCACTGGGGCTGTCTGATCCTCCCCTTCAGCCCTCAGTTCCTTCCCCTTCCCCTCTCCCTCTCCTCCCTACGCTCCAGGCCTCCCACCCATCTTTCCTTGTCCCTGCCTCAAGGCTAGTACTTGATGCTCCTTCACTCTGGGAAGCTATTTCTTGGCCCTTTTCATCCCTCAGGACTCAGCCATCATGCACCTCCTAAGGGGGGCCTCCCTGATACACGCACCCTGTTTATTTCCATCTTGGCCCTCAGCATACTTCGCTATTATGTGTTTATTTGTTCAATGGTTATTTTCTGTCTCTTCCTCTAAATGTTAGGCACCCCAGGAGGGCAGGGTGGCATTCTGCCTGTCTGATTCCTTCTGCCTGACATATGGTTGGTTCTCAAAAATCACTGGTGCCTCCATGTCCACCATGAAGTCAACTCTAGCCCACACTCCCCCTGGGCCGGGCACCTTTCACACATGCCTTTGGCCCCCTCAACCTTGCTGGGATGGAGGCTCAGAGAGGGGCAGTGACTTGCCTGAGGCTACCCAGCAGGAAAGCAGCAGCGCCAAGACTCAAACCCAGCCCTGTGTGTCCAAGTCCTTGACCTACTCTCCCAGTTTTCAAACTTTTTTTGGCCACTGACCCCTTTCTGTAAACCTCCTCAAACAGGGGAGACTTTACCCCCTATGGGACTCAGCAATGCCTAGAGACATTTTTGGTTGTCACAACTGTGGGGGAATGCCACTGTCACCCAGTGGGTAGAGGCCGAGGATGCTGCTAAACATTCTGCAGGGCACAGGACAGCCCCAAAACAGAATAATCTGACCCAGGCGGGGCGTGGTGGCATATGCCTGTAATCTCAGCACTTTGGGAGGCTGAGGTGGGCAGATCACTTGAGGTCAGGAGTTCTAGACCAGCCTGACCAACACGGTGAAAACGCATTTCTACTAAAATACAAAAATTAGCTGGGTGTGGTGGGCACCTGTAATCCCAGCTACTCAGGAGGCTGAGGCAGGAGAATCACTTGAACTGGGGAGGGGGAGGTTGCAGTGAGCCAGGATCACACCACTGCACTCCAGCCCAGGCAATAAAGCAAGACTCTGTCTCAAAAAAAAAAAAAAAAAAAAAAAAAAATTTATCTGGCCCAAAATGTCGATGGTGCCAGGGTTGAAGAACCTTGTTCTCGACCTTGGCTGGCATGTGGAAAGCCAGCCAGGCTGCTCTGAGGAGCTGCTGAGAAACTGAGGAGTGGCTTGGAGACCCCTGCCCTACCCTGCCTATCAAGGAAGCTTCCTGGCCATGTCTTGGACCCAGCTAATTCCCTCCACACCTGGTCCACACCTCTATCACACTGGGCACTGTCCTGACCGAGTCATCTCTGCTCAGGTCAGCTTCCTCCTTGGACTGGGGGACTATGTCTGATTCATCTCTGTTCACCCTAAAGGCCCTAACTCAGGCCTGGCTCATAGCCCACATAACTGAATGTGCCAGTCAGGGAAATCCAGCCTCACGGGATATGTCTGCTCTTTCTCCTCCTGGCGGGTCTACCCCAGTGAACTAGAGCTGAACCAGACCCTCCTGGCAGGCATGAGCCACTTACCAGAGTGGGAGAGGATGTGGGCCTTCAGCTTGTCTGGCCGGTTGAACTCCTTACTGCAGCCTGTGTGCGTCCTAAAACCCAAAGCCACCAGTCAGGGCGAGTTCACCAAGCTTAGGACGCTCTTGCTGGCCCCTCCACTAGCCCTGAACACGAGGAACACTTGTCCACCCTAAGGGCTGGTCAAGGAGGTAGGGTGGGGAGTGAGGCAGGTAGGACCCAGAACAAGATAAAAGGAGAAAGACCTGCCTGGGCATGGTGGCTGACGCCTGTAATCCCAGCGTTTTGGGAGACCGAGGTGGGTGGATCACGAGGTCAGGAGTTTAAGACTAGCCTGGCCAAGATGGTGAAACTAGATCTCTACCAAAAATACAAAAATTATTGGGGCATGGTGGTGCGCGTCTGTAATCCCAGCTACTTGGGAAACTGAGGCAGGAGAATCATTTGAACCTGGGAGGCGGAGGTTGCAGTGAGTGGAGATCGCATCACTGCACTCCAGCCTGGGCAACAGAGTGAGATCCTGTCTCAAAAAAAAAAAGGCAGGATGTAGTGGCTCACGCCTGTAATCCCAGCACTTTGGGAGACCAAGGCAGGTAGATCACAAGGTCAGAAGTTCAAGACCAGCCTGGCCAAGATGGTGAAGCCCCGTCTCTACTAAAAACACAAAAATTAGCCAGGTGCAGTGGCAGGCACCTGTAATCCCAGCTACTTGGGAGGCTGAGGGAGGAGAATCACTTGAACCCAGGCGGCAGAGGTTGCAGTGAGCCGAGATCGCTCTACTGTACTCCAGCCTAGAGTGAGACTCCATCTCACAAAAAAGAAGAAAACTAGATGTGAAAAATAAGAT